TTGGGAGGGGATCTTTACCCATTTGTACCTGGAAATCCAAGTAAATGGTTAGCGAGTCATGACTTGTTCCTCTGCCAGAGACAATTTCCTGCATTGCATAGTGTCTTTCATTAGATGCTTTCCCCTTTCTGAGATATGGGACGTTTCGTGTGTGTGTGAATTTAGTTTGGAAGTGAACTTTTAAAAATATGGAGTGAAAATACACACACACACACACTTCTGAGTGCAGATAATAGGCATAATGTGAAACCTGACTTTCACCTTAAACGGGTGGGGAAGTGATGGCTGTCATGCTCCTTGGTGATTGTTCCAGCTTTAGGTCATTTCAGGTGTGCAAAATCACTGACTCATATTGACACTTCTTGCATAATAAATAGCTAAGTTGCAAATGTCTGACAACTCCATATCTCTCTCATTTCCTTCAGAATATGAAAGGAGAGGAACAACGTGTAATTTAGTCATGTGAAAAGCTGACACATAGCTGTCAGATGTTTCAGCTCAGCCTCTTTTCCATAAGAAGCCCAATGTTGACTTGGTTCTAACTTCCCCCTGAGGTTACTGATTTTATGTTGCCAGACAGATGGGTGACCTCAGCTCAGTAAGGCAGGCGCTTCCTGTGCAGGTAGAATGGCAAGTCCCAAATTTCAGATATAATTACTGTTGAACCGAACATTTTATACACATTTCTTGTTTCCTATTGTGAGGTGCTAGTGATGCAAATCCAAAGCCAAGAGTCATTTTATGGGGCCTGATTAAAAGCTAAGATTTACATTCACAATTAATCCCAGCTTGATATGCCTGTGGTTCCCTGATAATTTTTGTAACGTCAATACAGGTCACTATCTACGGAAGAAAGCAAATCTGTTTATTAAAGGTGCAGCTGATAACAGCTGTTTAATTGAATTGAACTAATACAGCAGAGTATTTTGGTAGCAGAGAATTGGGAAAGTGTAGTTCTTGCAAATGGATGGACAAGCCGATAACAAATATGGTATTACAACAGTGTGTATAATTTAGTTTGCTATTTTCTTTTCTTTTTAATTTGTTATTTTCAATTACAAAAACACAAACACAAACAAAACTGTTCCTGGTATAGAATACTCTAGCTTTGCTAGCTTTGTGTGTGTGTCTGTGTGAATGCCAGCAGCCTATTAGCCTATTTAGCTTCTCCAGTCTACCCATTCAACGGTAAAAGCTGCTCATTCATCAATAGAAAGTGGATACAATCTACATACCAAATGAGTCAGAGGCAAGAAAGCAGTTGATTGCAGACATCAAGGAACTTATTAGTAATGTTTTACATAGCTTTGTTCTTTAATGGATTGTGTAGTTTCATTCTTTATTGTATTGACACAAGAAAGAAATTAAGTGAATGGTTGTTAAATATTTGGATAAATAGCAACAGCATGAAGGTGAGTATTTGCAAAGGTATGTCAGATCAATGCCAGGTAGTTGAGGTACAAACTTGTATATCATCTGGTTGCTATCAGAGGAGCAGGAAGGTCAAACATTTTCCATTTTTTTTTCTGGATTTCCATTCCATCTTTTCTGCCTCTCTATAAGCACTTAACTAGAAGTGCTTGCTTTAGCTGACTGGAAATTCAGAAAGATCAGAGATAAATATTTTAAACCTGATATCCATAGGTAGAAAACACAATTAGCCATGAACCTCTGTTGGGGAAATGTAATCAAAAACAAAATCCCGAAACTCAGAAAAACGCTCCACAAAGGTAGAGGAGAAAGAAAGCAATTTTTCTACTGAATAAATGTTAAACTAGACTGTCATATGCATCACAAGCAATCTGCTAAGAGATTACAGGCAGGAAGAAACTTCACTCTTTATACAACCAAGCAGATACAAGCCATTTCCTACACATTCTCATGATAAACAATAACTAGTCCTCAAGTAAGAGGACTTGAAAGCACCATTTGTCATACATAGTTGACCCTAGATTCACCTGGTAATTAGGGTGGCTATCTGTGTTAGCTAATTGGCTTTATTCAAAGGAAAATTAATGTCTCATATCTTTATGACAGGAGGAAGTTTTGGAGCTTGGAGCAAAATGCTCGCTGAGTTAGGCTCCCACATCCACAGAAACTGAGAGATGGAGACGCTATCTCTCTTTGTGTTTACATTTCAAAGAGATGGTTCCCTGGTCCTCGGGACACAATAGCAAGACACTCATTGAAAGGCACATACTCAAACCCCTGTGTTTAATGTATACGGCTCCAATTGTTTCAAGTCTTGAGGACAAACCCATGCTATGGGACATTTCTTTCTTGGCATTGAGTCTAAATCAATAGTTACGCTATTATAATAGTCAACTACATCTCTAGGCATTCATCTTTGTTTATCTATACTGGGCCTGGAGAGAACTTGTCATCCCAAAGTTAATTGAGTAATGTTAGATTTGTCTTTTGTAGTCAATTATCTGTAAATGCCAGATTTCTGTTTTTCTAGTAATTAGATATTTTTTTCTTTTCTTTATTACCCTTCCAATCAAACTAGTTAACAAAACATTTTTTCTTGAAATTTATGACTCAAGTACCTGGGTGTATATCAATTACTTTTACTTTGTTATTATAAAAAATTGCTAATGAAGAAAGTCTCACTTTTACTCTGTCAATAACAATTAAATTGTTGGACTTGTAAGTCCAGATTTTGCTTATACTGGGAGTACAATTTGGAGCTGGTTGGAAATGAGATTGTGGGGAATCATTACTGGGAGTATAGAAAGAAAAAGAAAAGCAACGAATAACATGTTTGTTTTCCAGTAAAATGTGATTCTTAAAGTAATTGAAATAACCCTTAGTAGATGTGTTACCTTGAGGAAGCTCTTAATTGCTATGAGTCCCAGGTTTATTATCTGTAAAATGAGAAACACAATACCTGTATTGTAAGATTTTAACAATGACAAATTGAGATAATATATGTAAGTGCTAAGAACAGAGTCTGGCACAAAATGAATGGTGACTAAAGAGGCTGCTAGTGTAGGGGTCTCCATCTGCCTATGACTTTGAAATCTTGTGTCAACTCCAGGACCATGATCCAACATTTCCCTTCCTTTTTCTCAGACCAACATGTTTCCTAGTAGAATCTTTCCTTCGGTCTTCAAATACATTTACATCTGTCTGTTGCAAAAGCAATATATAAATACTTAAGTAAAACAATATACATTGCAACTTAATCTGGCCAGTTTCAAAAAGTTAACATTATGGAACTACAATTTGTGCACAATAAAATTCACTTATGGGGGCCAGTCTAGTGGTGTAGTGGTTAAGTTTGCATGCTTAATTTTGGTGGCCTGGGGTTTGCCAGTACGGATCCTGGGCACGGACCTACGCACTGCTCATCAAGTCATGCCATGGCAGCATCCCACATAGAAGAACTAGAAGAACTTACAACTAGGATATATACAGCTATGTACTGGGGCTTTGGGGACGAAAAAAAGAAAAAGAGGAAGATTGGCAACACATGTTAGCTCAGGGCCAATCTTCCTCACCAAAAAAAAGCAAAAAACAAAAGGCACTTAAGTAAAGCTTAGTTTTTGTGACAAACCTTATATGCATCTGTGTGTGTGTGTTGTATGTATCACCACTACATTCAAGATTTACATTACCATGAAAAGAGTCCCTCATGCCCAAATGCAGTCAGTCCCCATCTCAACTCCTGCTAGAGGCAATACCAAATATCTGCTATCTGTCTCTATAGAATAGTTGCCTTTTTTGGATTTTCATACAAATGGAATCACACAATATATACTGTTTTGTGTCTGCCATCTTTCTTTTACTGTAATAATTTGGAGATCCATGCTGGTGTGTGTATAATTAGTCTACTCCCTTTTATGACTGAGAACTATTCCATTATATTTTTAGGTCATCATTTGTTTATCCATTCAATTGTTGTTGGCTATTTGGGTTATTTCCAGGTTGAAAAATTATGAACAGAAGTGCTATAAATATTCTCACACAAGTGTTTGTGTGGATGTATGTTTTTACTTCTCCTGGGTGAATATTTAGGAGTAGAAATGTTGGATCATAGGATAACATATGTTTAATTTGAAAGGAATTGTCAAAATGTTTCTCAAAGTTGTCATCACATGAATGTTCCCATCAATGTATGAGAGTTCCAGTTTCCTCACCAACACCTGACATTGTCAGTCCTTTTAATTTGAGTCATTCTAATTGATGGATACCGAAAACATGTTCTGTTTTTAATTTGTATTTCTTTCTCAGTGTTTCTGAGATTTGAAACTTTCAGCTTAATGTTTTGCTGGGGTGCAAATCAGTCATGTCTTGCCTGGTTGGGGAGTGATCTTTAGCTGTCCATGGGGGTGAGAGAGGGATCTGGGTAACTAACGTCTCCTATGCAGACTTCAAACTAAGGCTACCCCCATTCAGCTTGCCCCACTGTGGTCTCTGTGCCTCAAATTCTGAGCCTTTCTTTACTATTCCACACAGAAGTTACCAATGACAAAGCTAATAATCTCTTTAAGCTTAATTTTAATTGATTTAACTTGTCTCAACCAAAACTCCTTTTCGTTGATATCAGTGTCCCAACTCTGTATTTTTCCTCAAACTTCTCTTTCGGTCCATTTTTGTCTTACTGGCTGGCTCCCCTTTCTCCAACAACCCTAAATTATGTGACCAAGCCAGGAACAGGGAGACGTCAGCATCTTTTTATTTCCAGTGGCTCTATGACACAAGTTACTTCAGTAAAAGTCCGTGAAGATTTGGCATTGCTGCTCTTCAATAGCAGCCTAATTCTCTAAGGGAAGAGAGTTATTGCTTTATATGCGTTGTTGCCTGAGTTCTGCAAGATAAAATGTAGGGGGAAGCTTCATGATAATTCACTCTGAGGTTCTCCAGCTTCTTTGATTCCCAGAAACTGTCTCATATACAATGTGTCGACAGTGAGAAAATTGACCATTTCAAGCAAGATCTAAACCTGGGGATTAAAAAAAAAAAGGCAAAATGAGTCTTTTTTCATTTCCTTTCAGGAAAGCACAATTTAAAAACTCTCCTAAGCTAGAAAGAGAAGATTCAGGTCATGAAAATCTCACAAGATTCCACTCGATTTTGCTGTGAACCTACAACTGCTCCAAAAAATAAAGTTTACTAAAAAAGGAACAAAACAATCTCAAAGGTATGGTACTATAACTGGAAAATATGCTTTGCAGAATAATGAAGCTATTAGATTTCCAGTTAATTTTAAAAATGCCTAGTGTGTCATAGACAAAAATTTGATGATTGTCTTAAAATGCATTTTCTCGATTCTCTCAGCAATTTGGGCGATTTAGAGGGGCATAAAACAAATCTAAAATAATCTCAAAACATCAGTTTGGAATCTGGATTGCTTTGAGATGTGTCTGTATGGCTTGCTAATTTCAGAGAAATTATTACTATTTTTTTAAGTTTTTAACCATCAATCCTTTTTGCTCGGTGCATTGGTAAGACATTGAGTCCAAGGATGCCAGTCAATTGGTATTTCTAGAAAGCCTCTCCGACTGACACTAAGTGTAAAGTGCACTTCATGTTTCACGTTTCTCACCATAGATGAGGAATGACCAAGTCACATGTAGCTATCCTGTACTTCGGAGGAAGAAATTGTTCTACAGAACATGAAGGGAGCCTAGTGAGCTCAAGAGACTGGACATGGTTAGGACAGCTCTCACTTTTAGGGAACTGAATCACGGGGAACGTCAACCACAGGTGCTGATGTGTACCATTTATTATGAACTAAATGATGGTCTCTGACTTACACTCTTTCTAAAAGGAGGCTTAAAACTATACTAAGATTACTTTGATAATGATGTACTCGTCTTGAGCATGAAAGCTCTGGTTATTAGAATTTACAGTAAAAGGAATTGTATCAGTGTAGTTTTCTATATCATATAGGAGTTCTCCAGTTTTTATGTAGCTGCATTTCTATTTTGTCTACGAGATAGGAAAGAGTAATTAAAGAGAGTACTTTTATACTTCTTCTGGTAGAACTGGTGTTCCTCACCAGGGATCACTTCCTGTGAGGATTTCCCTCTATGTTGTGGTTCTTCCACTTCTTATCAGCTGCAGGGAGATTATACTGCTCACACATTTTAAGAAAATGACCCCCTTTAATCTATAAAATAGTTTTTGTAGCTAGGTGTATATTTTTTGACGTACAAATATATGAAGTGTATTACATTAATTCATCTTACAATTAGCTCTCCATCAATATCTCTCTTTTCTTAAGTACAGGATATCAGGTGTTGCTGCAGTGGCAAACTTTATTATTATTATTATTAAGTTTTATTTTTATTTTTTATAACAAATGAATCAGTGTTTAGTGAATAGTGGTGATGATGAATAAATGTTTGTTGGGATAGAAATTGCTACTGACGTGGAGTGTAGCTAGGAACACTGCCGGACAGACGGGAGCTCCGTCTTGTTAGTAACAGTGGCTACAGTCTAAGGGTAAATCCGGGGTAGGGAGGGAGGGGTAGGAGGTGGTGTGGAGTGTTGGGGAAAGGAGGGGATGCAAAAATCCTGCCCTGAATTCTCTTTTCTACTTTGCATCCCTTCTAGGTGTTAATCAGCCTCTGCTTCTACTAATTGCCTCATCCTTACCCCTTCAGTGGCCTCTCTAAAACTCTAATTGGCTCTCCCGTCCTAAGATACAGGAGTTGCTAACTCCTATTGCCTTTGGCCTTCACAGCCAACTAAGGCCACTAAATACGCTCAAAGTCCCCATTTTGGGCCTTCTTTAGTATTTCTCAATTTTCTTTGTTTCTTTCACCTTTTTCCTGTAGCATCTGATAGTGTTTACCACTGCACTTTCAAACGCTAATATCCCACAGTTATATCCTTTTCTGCTTCTCTACTGACTTCTTTAAGGACTCCTTTTCAGTCACCTTAGGCCTTTTGTCTCGACATGTCCTTTAAATGTAGGTGTTTAAATAGTTACTGTTCTTGACCCTCTTTCTTTACTACTCTCATCCATTTAGGTCAAAAAACATTTCTGACAACCTGCATTATACTAAGTACTGTGTTATCAGAGAAAAAGACGTGGTCCTGCCTTCAAAGAGTCACAGTCCAGTGAGGGTGACAGACAAACACATTAAAGCATCAGAATGTAGTGGGACACTGTGCTGTCTAGAAGACGGAGTGACACTTGGGTTTGGATATCCAGGAGAAGGGCATTATCCTGCCTGGATTCCAGTGGACTCCTTCAAGAGTGACACATTGTGATATTGTGATTTATAAGAAGAAATAGATATTTGTTCGTCATGTTTCTGATACACAGCTCCTAAAACCCTTGGAATTTCCTGTGATGAAAGCAATAAAGGTGTCTTGTTATGTTAATGGGGTGACTTTTGGACCGCACCTAAGGATGGGGGCTGGTTGCCAATGGAGCCAATCATGTGATTGGAGGGTTGAAACTCTCAGTCTCACCCCTTGACCTCTGGGGGGGGGGCTGGAATTTGAATTCAATCACCAGTAGCCAATGATTTAGTCAATCATGCCTATGTAATGAAGGTCCATAAAGTCCCCAAAGGATAGTTTCTGGAGAGCTTCCGGGTATGTGAACACATGGAGATTCCAGGAGAGTGGTGAACTCAGCGAGGTCATGGAAGCTCAGTGCCCTTCCTACATACCTTACCCTATGCACCTCTTCCATCTGGCTGTTCCTGAGTTGTATCATTTTATAATAAACCAGTAATCTAGTAAGTAAAATGTTTCTCTGAGATCTGTGAGCCGCTCTAGCAAATTAATTGAACACAAAGGAGGGAGTCGTGGGGACCTCCCGTTTATAGCCTGTCAGTTAGAGCTCAAGTGACAACCTGGACTTGCTACCTGCATCTAAACTGGAAATTAAGGATAGATCTACCATATGATCCAGCTATTTCACTGCTGGGTATTTATCCAAAGAACTTGAAAACACAAAGGCATAAAGATACTTGCACCCTTGTGTTCATTGCAGCATTATACACAATAGCCAAGACATGGAAGCAACCTAGGTGCCCATCAAGGGACGAATGGATAAAGAAGATGTGGTATTTATACACGATGGAATACTACTCAGCCATAAGAAATAACAAAATCCGGCCATTTGTGACAACATGGATGGACTTTGAGGGTATTATGCTGAGTGAAATAAGTCAGAGGGAGAAAGTCAAATACCATATGATCTCACTCATAAGTAGAAGATAAAAACGACAAAAAAAAAAAAAAACATAGCATTGGAGATTGGACTGGTGGTTACCATTGGGAAAGGGGGGAGGGGGGAGGGCAAAAGGAGTGATTAGGGTCACATGTGAGGGGATGCACTATAATTAGTGTTCGGGTGGTGAACATGATGTAATGTATACAGAATTTGAAATATGATGTACATTCGAAAAAAACAAAAATTAAAAAAAATAAAACAAAAACAAAACAAAACAAGAAAACTGGAAAGTAGGGTGGGGCAGTGGAGTCTCGTAGGACTGAGCCCTTAGCCTGCGAAGTCTAACGCTATCTCTGAGTAAATAGTATCAGAATTGAGTTAAGTTATAGAACATCCAGCTAGTGTCAGAGAATTGCTTGGTGTGGGAAATCCCTTCCTCCACCATTGGAACTTGAGTACAGAATCCTAATTGGGTAATCAGAAGTTTTAATTGGTACTAGAATCATTTTACACCTGTAACTTGTTTTGAAGGCCTGAGGAAGACTTAGCAAGGTGAAAATGGAGCTGGGGGGATGGGGTGGAGGGAGGTGAATGTTCCAGGTAGAGGAAATTTCTTCACAAGCTAAGTGTACTTGTGAAAAAGTATGATACCTTGTTGAACTATCGTGGATTAATATGATTGGAATTTAGGAGACGTCTGGGGAAGAGAAGAAAAATGAGAGTAGAGTTAGAAGAAGTCAGTTTATGTAAATCTTTGTATGATATCCTAAAATTTATGTGCCAGATTCTGTTACCCTTCGACCTTGTCTGAGAAACATTTCTTTCTTTGTTTTGAAAGCACACTCACCAATCTAATAAGTAGAGACCCACTAAGTAAATGGAATTTGATGAATTTAATGCTTTTCTGGAGGTCTATTACATGAAATTGCTGAACTCTTGTAATAACAACCAAGTCATTACTAATTTAATTCTTTTGAGTGCCCCGCATCCCACACACACGTTTAGGAGAAAAAAGAACAATAGAATCTTACATACAATTTGAGAACAAACGAAAAACAAAAGTAAAAGGACTTAAGTGTATATGCACAAGAACGATACATGTCCTGTTGAGTATAGCAGCAAAATAGAGAAAGCCTGCATGCCCTTCGATAGCAGAATGCTTGAGTAAATGTGATACATCTTTTTTTATGGTCTGTTATGCAACTGTTAAAAATCTTATAGTAGGTCTATTGATTTAGGGGCTTACCATGATGTTTTGTTAATTGGGAAGAGAATGAGATGGTGATGGCCTTGTTATCACCACGGCTTCCTTCCTCAAGTTTTAGGGTGACACCCTTAGTCCGGAATGACCTGTATTGTATTTCCATTTTTGTTTTGGTTGATGTTTTCTTTTTTCCCCATGTTAGATCTCATTTACCTTATTAATGATAGCTTTCTCCACATCAATAACTTGCGGAGGTAATGTATTGTTTCTTGCTGATATTGGGGTTGCTAAACTAATTTTATAAAGGGCATGGTCTTTTCACGTGAATTTTTCTGTATTTAGTTTTAAAGTACACATTTTTAAAATTTGATCTCATCAAATTCCCACTACCACATTCCTATTCCTCTAGATGATATGTTATTTGCATCTGCACGATCCACATAATGCTGAAACCCTGGAGGTGTGATTATCCTGAAGCACAAATTAACATTTGCATCAGCTGACTGTAAGAGTGTCTGGTGCAAAATGCTTTTTTAGTGTTGTTGCCCTGAAAGGAATTTAACAAATATCCCTAAATGTAGATAAAGAAGAATAATTTCTGACTTAAATACCACCTGTAAGATTTTCCTGTTATTCAGATGACTTTCCTTTTAACTGCCTTCACTATTTATTATCATGTGTTATGGAAAGGGAAGTTACAATTAATTCACATTGTGTTTTTGCTGTTCGTGCTTCTTTAAATGGCCATCATTAAATATTTTATGGAACTTGCTCAAATTAAGTAGTGATTAAAAGAGACTGTTTTCTAAAATTATGCACAGTATTAATGATCTTCTGCTTTCATCCCTCTTTCTCCCCACACTTTTGGTCATCTTATAGCTCTTGTCACTAATCATACACTGAATAGGACCACAGGAAAGAGCTTAAACTCTAATAAACTGTTATTATTTTTTCATGCCTTTAAAAAGTAGATTCTTTTTTTCTTTTTTTGTGAGGAAGATTGTTGCTGAGCTAACGTCTGTGCCAATCTTCCTCTGTTTTATATGTGGGACACCACCACAGCATGGCTTGATGAGTGGTATGTGGGTCAGCACCCAGGATCTGAGCCAGTGAACCCCAGGCTGATGAAGCACAGTGTGTGAATTTAACCACTACGCAACTGGGCCAGCCCCCAAAAATACATTCTTGATATAAGAAAGCTTGAAATAATTTTCTGAAATGTTTTAGATTGTCTGCAATTTTAAGTTGCTCATGTTACCTTTCCTTCTCCTTTATCCTAGATAATTAAAATACTCTTATCAATTGAGCTGATTGCATTTTCTACTTTATTTTTTTTTCCTCAGAGGCCTAATTTCCTTAGCCTTGGACCTGTTGATATACTGTAATTTGCATGTTCTTTAGCCATGTCTGAGAAATCTGTACCCAGACTAATCTTTGTTTTTCTTTTAGGATCTATTTAATGAAGGTTATGAAGATGCTGGCAGCAGCACGATCACTTGAGATTTTATTATGGTTTATAACAGTGTTTGAATGCCAGTTTTTTCATGTGGTCTTTGATAATCAATGTTTTAGCTATTTTATAATGAGACTAGAAGCCTTTGAAAACACTGTCATCTTTGAATCTAATTAATTACAGAATGATACAACTATTGCTAATGGATGACTCATTTTTTTAGCTTAGTTTAAAATCTAGAGCTTTTCTTTCCTTCCCAAAATAATTGTACTTATACTCAGAAGCATAATAAGCAGTATAAAATGGATTAATTATGAAGAAAAGTGTAAATCTCATTCTCATCACTATTTATACTATTAACACCACAGAAGAATCAGATGAGAGAAGAGGCATATTTTCATGGCATGGGCTACGTTGTATATAGCCATTATTTGGTCAAGTTTCTTTGGGATTTGCATAGATTTTTGTCTCAACTCCCAGGGCCAATGCTAAGTGCAAGGAGGGCAAACCAAAAAGCTCTGATCCCAAGTTATCTTACTCGGGCACCAGAGGCCCCTCTTCCCATCCAGGGTTTCCTTCAGGAAGCAATGGGTGATGGACGTGGTGAGACAACGTGAATATGGATCCTTCTAAGGATCAAAATGGAGTCTGTTAAATATGTATGTTTATAGACTCTGTTCCTATGTATTAAGTCTTTTATATGTGTCAAGTTCTCATCACAGTGGAGGAAACAGACACATAAGGAGATCATTATTATGCCATGTGGTAAATGCCATGATAGAGGCATTGGTTTAGGGTGACTGGTAGCACAGAGCAAGCACACAAATCAGCCTAGGGAAATCAAGGAAGGCCTCACAGAGAAGATGAAGTCTGATTTGTCTATAAAGTTGGTTAGAAATTACCTGGATGCAAAGTTAGAGGAAGGCAGAGGCAACACACCAGCAAGGAATGGAAGCTAAATTAATAAAAAATAATGAGAATCCCCATATTGATTTAATGTTTGCTATATGTCAGGCATTATTTTAAGTGATGCGTTAAACCATTTCATCGTCCCAACAAACATGTGAGGCAGCTATTACTATTCTAATTCTATGTGCGAAGAAACCGAAGCACTGAATGTTTAAGTCAATACCCCAAGGTTACCTAGCCAGTAAGTTATAGAGCAGACATTCAGACCCACACCGTCTGGCTCCAGAGTCCAGATTTTAACCACTCTACAGCCTCTCGCTAGAGTTCACTGATTGGTGTAGTGAGCCTATAAGTGAACTGAAATTACTGGATAAAAACTCTACTTTGGGAAATCAGAAGACACAGCTGGGGAGGATGGGTGGTAAGTATCAAATTTGTGTGTCTTGTTAAGAAGATTAGACTAGGGCTTCTCAACTATCTATGGTGAGAGGCCAGTTTTACTTTACTATTATTATTTAAAAATTTCCAATATGATGCGGACTGATATATTTATAAAATGGAAAATCACATGCTTGGATATCAAGGCAATGTTAAGTTGCTATAAGGATTCTAAATGCTTACTCTCCATGTCTGTGCTTTCCAAATCATGAATTGGGAACAAGCATTTGGTGGAACAGCATTTCGCTTATCACTGGGTTGCGTGTTTTACTTTATATTTTGTGGTGTCATTAAGGGTTTTAAGCATTCAGATGGTCACGTTAGCATTTTAGATATTGCTTCTGTGGAAAATGGATAAGAGGCAGCCAAGACTGATTCCAACAAGACCAATTATGAATCAATGACTGTAGTCCAGGCAAAAGATGCCTAGGCCTAAACTGAGGCTGTGGATATAGCAATGAAAAGTGAGATCTGTCGTTTTGAGAAACACTTAGGAAATACCACTGGCCTGGGCCCATGAGCATGATTCCCCACCCTCAGCTCCACTGAAACAGCTTTTT